GTGCCCATGGACCCCCATAGGGCCTGGGGGGTGGTGTGGGGGTCACATTGCATGAGCTGGTCACCCTGTTGGAGTGACACGGGGGGTGTGATGCTCCATCCCCCTCCCCCCCCAAAAACACTGGGAATACCCCAAAGGGTCAAGAGGGAAGGGGGGGTAAGACCCCCCCGGGGTGCAGATGGGACACGGGAGGGGCTGCTGTGGTGTCAGGGCTGGGGAGGGGAAGTGGGGGGCTCCGGCTGGCCTTGGGGGGAGGCCGTGAGAACCGGGGCCGGGGGGGGACAGCGCAGGAAGCGCCGGGGGGGGCGGCCGCTCCCGGCTCCCCCAGATGTGCCCGTGAGATAGGACGGCAGGAAGCAGCTGCGGGGAATCCCGGCGCTGGGAACAGCGGCTACCGCCCGCCCGACGCCCCCCGGGCTTGTCGGACCCCCGGCCCTGCCGCCTTCCCCCCCCCACCTCCGGGTACCACCCGGGGATGCTCCGAGAGTCCCGGCCTCTACCCCGCGGGGAGATGGGGGTGCCCAGGGTTTGCCCTGGAGAAGCAGCTCTGATTCCTCATGGGAATACGTGCTTCCCTCTGGCTCTGTCAGTGCTGAGGGATTCATGGCTCTGCTCCTGGCTGGGCTTGGGATGGGAGGAGATGTGGGGAAACCGAGGCACGGGAGGTGGCTGAGAAGCTTGGCCGTGGTTCCCGTCATGGATCAGAGGGATGGGTCTTCTCCTGTCCCTCCCCTGGGTGCTCGGGAATGCCCCGCTGTGTTCGCTCCGGTCCCCGATGACAACCAGCAGTGCCAGGCGCTGCCTCCAGGCTCGTTGGGATGGGACACACTGTCCCTGCCTCGGGCACGGGGCCGAGGGGGGTCCCTGGGACTAATCCCCTGCACAAACAGCCGCACATTCCCCAGGGCAGGATCCGGTCTCCCGGTGACAGGGATCGGGGGAGGGGGGGGCTCACTGCCCCCTTTTGGGTGCCCATTCCCAGTAGTCCCTGTGGTGGGTGAGGGGGTAAACTGAGGCACAGAGCAGGCTCCCTCCATCAGCTGCAGACCCTGATGTCCACCCAAATCTGCCAGCCCCAATTTATAACACCCCTTTTAACCCCAAACACCCCAAATCTGGGACATCACAGCTCAGGGTGGGGTGTCACTTCAGCCATGGGGACAGCAAGGGGAGGGTTTTGGCACCTTCTTCATGTGACCAATGGCCAGAGCAGGACCACGATGCCCATCCCTGCCTGTCCCTGCCCATCCTGGCCCCTCTGCCCATCTGGGAGCACGAATTGGGGTGTCAGAAGAGTTGGCACCTGGGTAAGAGCAGAATCACCAAATGCCTCCCTGTGCTGGGCACGGCCCTGGGGACAAGGTGGGAAGGGGATCCCAGAGCCCAGTTAAGAAGTCAGAATCCCTTCTTCCTCTTAAGCATCCCAGAACCCCTTGGGATCACTGCCATGTGGGTGCCCAGGCTGGGGGGTTGGCTTGAAGCATCTCCAAAAAAAACAGTGAATTAAAGTCATCCCTGAGCTCCTGCTCCCACGCTGTGGGCACAGCCAGCCAGGTCCCCCAGCCTCCCTCACTCCTGAAGGATCCTGAGGGTCTCTGAAGATCCCAGGGAGCCGGGATTTACACCCCAGCCCCATCTGAAAGCGAATCCAGATGACCCCCGGGGAAGAGCCCTTCCCTTTGTAGCTGCCTTGGGCGCTCTGCCACGTCTCCGTTCCTCCCCTCTCCCGTCCAAATCCCTTCCCCGCAGGCAGCCAGCGCTTCCAGGCAGCGTCCAAGCTTCCAAAACACAAGAAATTCCCCCCAAAACGCCGGTGTTGTCCCCCCGGGACACCGGGACCCCCACGCTTGCCCTCCCTGCCCTGCAGCAGCCGGGCTGAATCCGGCCCTTTCCACTCCATCCCTCACATCCTGCCACCTGTACCGACTTATTTCAGGAAAAAAAAATAAATATATCAAACCAAACCCGGGCCCGAGGGGGGGGCGATTTTTATTTTTGGGGTGGGGGTGCAGCTGCTTTTGAAACCCCCCCACCCCGCGGGGACCTCCACAGGTATTTGCAGCATGGGCAAATCCCATGGGATTAACGATCCGTTCCAGGGAAAGGGGGAAAGGTTGCAGGGAGCTGAGCTGTAAGGGGAGGTGGGGGGGACGCGGTCACCTCCTTCCCCC